GTGTTAAATCCCCATTCGGGTACTGATGCTGCTACCCCTTCTCATGCTGAGCAGCACCGACACTTAGATTGGTGACCTTCCTGTGTAAGTGCTAGTAGCCACTAGGGCCTTTTTGTGCTGCGTGAAAACAACAACAATGCACTAGCTAATTCACTATAGGGAACAATCTTGTAGTGGCTCCAGGAAGATGGACTAGAGGGCATAATAGGTCTTTTCCATCTCTAATTCCTATGATTCTCCAAGTTCCAGGTTCTTAGCTCTATATTTAGATTACTTGCTCACACACCTCCCATTCATGTTGGTTTTAAAGAGAGAAGGCATAATGTCAGATGAAAGGAGACCTTCCTACAGTGGCTACAGGTCCACTCACCAAATGGAAGCTGAAGCACACTCTGCTTCCTGGCTCGCCTGTGGGCTGTCTGATGGCTCTCTGCAGTGTCAGCACTAGTCTTAACCCGGGTTCTCCAAACTGAGCGATTGTGGGTAGGATTTTCCCAGTTGTCAGTGGGAAAGCTGAATTTCTTGAGGCCTTCTTGACTTCGTCGCTGTACTGGAGCTTTGGCCCTCCACTGCATTGCAGGCAGTTCTTAAATTGGACATCGAGCGCAGCCTTCAGCAGATGATCTTGAGGCATACCCTCCAGCCAGCATAGTCTGCATAGAGTAGACTGTAGGTTGGTTCTCTCAAGGACCTCGTTATTGGTGATCTGTTGGTCCCAAGTAACTCCAAAGATTTTTCTAAGACAGTGGAGGTGGAAACTGTTGAATCTCTGCTCCTGCTTGGGGTACGTAACCCAGCTTTCACAACTGAAAGGAGGGTACTATGGACACAAATCTGATAAACAGACACCTTTGCGTTCAGAGTTAGCAACTTGTTATTCCAAACACATCAGGTAAGTTTGCCAAAGGTAACAGAAGCTTTACCGAGTCTCGCGTCAAGTTCCCTATCAAGGTTAAGTGAGCTGGTAAGAATTGAGCCGAGAGAGCAGAAGTGATCCACAGTGTCCAGAGCTTCATTATTGACATAGATTTTAGTGGAATGTTGGTACCTTGTGACATGACAACTGTTTCCTTGATACTGATTACATGCCAAACTTCTATATTACTGCATTGAAATGTCAAAACAGCAACGTGGAGTAAAAATTGGATTTTTTTCCCTTCTTTCTCCATCAGATAAATTTCACTCTGCCTCTCTTTCAGCAACAGGAAGTATAAAAGTTTATTGATTATTCAGACTGGAGACTCTGCAGATATTTTGTTTTTATAAGCTGCTGCGCACAAAAGACTATTAAAGCCAATAAAAAAATAAAGTTTAGCATCAAAAAGAATGAACAAAATAAATAAGGTAAATAATAGAAACTGGGGGCAAAATTCTAATCTGAGTTACACTGGGGTAAACTGGGGATGAGACCATTGACTTCACTGGAGTTACTCCAGATTTATATCTAAATCCAAATTCTGGTTCCATTGAAGTCAATAGGAGTTTTCTCATATAAAGTGACTGATCAATGTAAAGTGGCACTGGATATCAACATTTTATCTCTCTATATATATTGTACACACAGACACCCCTAAACACCCAGGTCTGCCTACTTATAGTCTTACCATTCCATTAGACATGGAGCCTAGAGAGAGATCCGTTGCTGCCAGTTATTCTGTACTGGAACAATAGAACAGTACTTGTATGAAGAGCAGCAGGCAAATAACGCAGATATCCATCGAACCCAGACAAAAGGGCATAAGGCGCTTATTTAGCCATGGTCTAGGAATATCAGATAGTTTAACATATGGGGCAGAAGCTTTGTAACTGAATGCTGCTGCAATTGTTGCTTTTAGAAATCAGTGTTAAATGCTAACAATGAGCAGGCTATTTGTGTCTCTAGAGTACTATACCAATAATGCAATCCAGTACTGAGTGCCAGCATCACAGCTCTGGAATGCCACTTCCAGTGCAGTCTTTAGTAAGTGTTATTATTTCTTAGTTATGTACCACTAGCCACTTTACAGTCAGGTCTCTACCTGGAAGACCTTAGAATATAGAATCATAGGATTGGAAGGGACCTTGAGAGGTCATCTAGTCCAGTGCCCTGCATTCATGGCAGGACTAAGTATATAGTATAAGATATACTAAATATATCTTAGAGTCTCAGCCATAGAGAATGTGGAGGCTTAACAGAGAATTGTAAACAAACAGAAATAGGAAGATGTGAAATTTCAGTAAAATACCCATGGGACACGGCCGGCTCTAACTTTTTTGCCTCCCCAGGCAAAAAAGAAGAGCGCCGCCCCACCATAACAACCCCCCCCCATGCCGCGCCGCCGACTCACCCCCCCCCAAGCGC